GAAAAATGATGAAACATGTAAACTCTTCTTTTTTTATTTTCTTTTTCCCCTCTTTTTTTTGATTTTTGAAAAAGGATGAAAAAGTACAAAAATCCTTTGAATTTTTCAAGCTCTCTTTTTTTCTTAACAAAATGTAATAGAAAACATAATTAGGCCTCACTCGCTTTATCTTCACACTTCACCCTCTCTTTTTTTCTTTTTTTTTTTCTTTCTTCTTTCTTTTTTTATTATTTTTTTTTTCATTTTTTCATTTACCCTCAGCTACCATTGGTCCGCCAAATGACCCTTTTACCCTTGAATAAATGCAACATGTAGCACATAAGATGCATCAGGATGGTTTTTTATTTTTTGGGGTATACCTGTCCTAGATGGACCCAACCCCTGTGTTGAGTCCCCTAAGTCAAGTGCACATGATGCAAACAAGCGTTCCTACTAGGGATCCGGCATGAGGTTGAGTTATTCTAGGTTCAAAACCTGGGTATGTGTTTTAGACTGTGTACCTGAGCGGACAACTCGAGCCGAGGAGGGGGCTACGTACCGGGAACCAAAAGGTCATCCGGCTTAGTAACTTGTCCGAGCCTCTTTCTTATTTCAAGGTATGACACTAACAGAATAGGGAGTCACGACCAACGTGCACATCCCCGAAGATGAGAAGAGAAGGGTTTCGTAGCAATTTATATACAGTTCAGATAATATCAAAGCGGTAAAAAGCAACATTTAGCATATTAGACTCAAACATGTAATAAAATCAGATAACAGATAAAACCAAATATAACAATTCATCTAAGCTCGAATTCTGAACCCTGAACCAGAGATTCTGGGTTTTTCTCCCTAGCAAAGTCACCAGAGCTGTCACACCTTCTTTTTACCTACACCTCCAGAATGGAGTATATAAGGGAGTTTTTTCCAACTTAAAGTGACAATCGAAATGGGATTATTTTTATTAAAAATTCAGAGTCGCCACTTGGGAGATTTATGGTATCCCAAGTCACCGGTTTAAAATCCCCAATCAAGAAAAAATTGACTCTATATTACAGTCCGCGAACACAGAAATCCGGGTAAGGAACTCTGTTAACCCGGGAGAAGGCGTTAGGCATTTCAGGATTCCGTGGTTCTAACACGGTCGCTCAATTGTTATTATTCGGCTTAATTATCTGATTTAAACAATTATGAACCTATGTGCAAATTTTAGTTTTAACCGCTTTTATTCATTCTTAAAGAAAATTGCAAAATTAAAACATGTTTTGAAACACGTCACATAAATGCAACTGTGGTTTTTGACGTATTTTAACATCGTTGAGATTTGGATTTGGGTCACATAAATGCGCACCCGAGTTTAGGAAGGTAATATTATTAAATGACGCGCCTAAAGCAACTACGCGTTTGCATTGTGCGAGGGCCATGGAATTTGCTAAATGGCACGCCTCGAATTCTAAGGATTTTAAAAGGAATGATTGAGCGAGGGCCAAGCAATTTGAGCTTTTGTTTGGCATGACACCCCTCGATTTATTTTAACCAAATGGTTTCTAAACTAACTTATGAGGGCCGTAACCTATTGATGTTATCTAACATGGCACACTCCGTCTAAATGAACAAAATGCCCCTTTTACAGCTAACATCATTAATTATTGATGGTTATTTACACAATCCGTAGGGCTCCGGGATTAGGACAGGCCCAGGCGAAAAATGTGTGAGGGGTGGGCAGTCCAGGCGATCAAACTCTTTGCATTAGTTGGGCCAGCATTGAGCCCATATTTCAGAATAATAAGGTGTACAGACATTACTTAAACACCAATTAATGGCAAGCTCAAGACATCAGAAAAATTGAATTAACAACCTTCCTTTTAAAAAACACCTTTATCGAAATCTTGTGCTATTGAACTAATCAGGATCTTTTGAGAACATGGGCAAATACTGAAAACCTGGGGATCTAGTATCGAACCCATAAGAGAGCCATATTTCATGGCTATAGGCTGATTTTTATGGGCTTCAGGTTAAGCCCACTAGCCTCAAAACTTTGCATTCTAGCGTACATTTAAAGATAAGACAAGTAACATTTTAATGATATTAACCCCGTAGCCTTTTAGACTATACGACAAGCCTTTATGATGAAAAGAAATAAGAACATGCTTTCATTTTTCAGTACAAGAATAGAACCTCATGATCAATAACTTTCAAACTACATAGACTTGAAACATCAGAAGCGTCATTACTCATTATTGAAACTAAAATGCTCTACAAAGGTCCCATAGAACCTTATTAGCCAATCATCCTATTAACAGTTCCATCAAAGCATACCCAGCTTCTATTTCATCTTCCATCAGAACACTTAATGGAATTTTAAAACATGCTCATATGCTTGAAGATTTGAAGAATACCCAGGATTCCCATACCACCACGAGTGCCACATTTTACCCAAAAGAAAACCTTAAAACGGTATTAGCTACTTCATGTTAATCTCACAACGATGCAACCATCCAAGTCATGGGAAATGATTCAAAACAAACTAAAGTTAACAAATACAAATTAGAGTCCTAATTACAAGTCTTAAAATAAGTTTCAGATGTTCATGGCATAGCATTATTTTAAACATACTAAAATAGAAGGCATGGATTAACAAGTCAAATGAAAAAGAAAAAACAGAGGAAGACATTTAGTCAGTATGGAGATCTTCATTTCTTCAAAAAATATGAACCCTTCTTATAAGTCTAGAATCAGGAATATGTACCTGAAAGTTAAGAAGGAAACAAGGAGAATAAGAAGTGAATAACAGCAGAAGTAGAGTCAGCCCAGAATTAGCAAGGAAGAAATACCAAACAGCATTCGAACCAATTATGAAACCCCCAGACTTAAATTAGAACATGACTCCAAACACAAACTCAGCTCAAAACCAACTTTCAAATACCAAATTAAATTATCTTCAACCCCATGTGAATCAGAGAAATTCAAAACCTCCTGAATTACAGAAAGAAATTCAATAGAGTAGTTTTTTTTATGAAATTCCTCGCCGTTTTTTTTTTTTTAGAATTTTATCTCTTAATCCCTTGGGTCTGCCTTTAAATGCAAGAAAACCATGCCTTAATAGGCAAGGAAGTAGGGTAGCTTACAGAAAATTAGATTTTGTAATTAGACCTTTTTTACATTTTCATTTTTGCTCAGGAAACCTTAGTCTAAAAATCAGATTTTCAAATTAGCCCCCACCCCAGCTTCCTAGAAGCTTCCCTATTCAGTTACTACAGATTCTCTTATCCAATTTTCCAAACTTACCCCTATAACCCCTGAAAATAACCTCTGAAACCAAAACGAGTTATGGGTCATCTTTGACCCAACGGTCCAGACCCAAAATGAGTCGGATTTGACCCAAACCCAACCCACAGGATCAAAGAACCACTCGGCCCAAACTAGAAATTATCTAATTAACCAAATAACGCATGCCAAAATGTTTCAACCATTAAGAACTTAGCCTGAATGATTTAATTAAAAAAAATAACCAAACTAATAGATTTACACTAATCTAGTTACAAACTGACTATACTAATTAAGAAAATGTTCACAATTACTCATGCATGACCCCATACCTCTGGAGCAAAATAAAAAGAAAGAATCAAGAAGAAGAGAGGAAGCAGAAAAATAGAAAATCGAAGAAAGATAATAAAAGAAAAAAGGAAATACCTAAAAGCCTCGGACAATAAAAGGTTGTGACAAATCTTCAAATCCTCAGATATTTCGGCCAAATCTGATATTAATCGTGTGCTCTTACAAAAAGCACACGAATAAAATCAGATTAGACCCGAGATATCAACAAAATCTTGACTTAGAATTTTTATGCTCATTTTCGATCTAATATTCGAGAAACTCTAGAAAGATTCGAAAGGAACTGACCCGGTATTTGGGAAGAGGGGGTCGTGGGGCTCATGGGGTGTTAATTTGAGAGGGGTTGGAGGTGGCGCCGCCGGGTTCACGGCGGTGGAAATTGGGCGGTGTCTCTAGGGTTCTATAGAGACGATGGGGTTCTGAGAGATGAGACGGGGGGTTCTAAGGAGGGGGGATGGTCCGTTTCGGATAGTTAAATAGCCCGGGGGAGCTTGGTTCCAAACCGTTGGATCAATGGGAATCAACGGCTGTGATCCGGGGAGGGGAAACGACATCGTTTGGTCTCTGAACGGGGCGGACCGGGTCAGGGACGTGTTTTGGGCCATGCCACACGGGTTTCAGGGGGGAATGTTTGGGCCTGGGGTTTGCAGCCCAAACCAGCCTCTATTTCCTTTTTATTTGTTTTCTTTTCTTTTTTTTTTCATTTTCTTTTAGTTTCTTTTAAATTAAAATTAAAAATAATCCTAAATTAATCACTAATCAAATTATCCTATTACATTAATTAACTCTAAATAACAATTACCACAAATAATTAAAAATCAAATTCAAGGAAAAATTGCCAAGATACGAAAAATTAAAATTAAAAGTGCAAAATAAACTATATTTTTTTATTTTTTTCATTTTTATAAAACAACTAAATTACTAATTAATTTAATAATGCAAAATTTGATCTTAGATGCTAATGAATCGTATTTTTGTATTTTTTATTAATTAATCAAAAATAAAAATTCACAGACAAATGCAAACAATTATCAGAAAATGCCACAAAATCCTCCAAAATGCAAATAATAAAAAGAAGTTATTTTGTTTTGAATTTATGGGAGTAATTCATATAGGGCAAAAATCACGTGCTAACAAGTTCTACCAATGGTAATCTAGGCAGGGCATCTGCTACCTTATTCTCCTTCCCTTTCTTTTATTTAATAATGAAATCATACTGCATGAGTTTGATTATCCATTTAAGTTGAGACCCAACTTTTGCTCAAGAAGAAACTTCAAAGCCTTTTGATCTGTTTTCACTGTAAAGGGTCTGCCTGTCAAATACTGACCCACTTGTTTACTGCCATTACTAATGCTAAAAGCTCCTTGTTATAAACAGATAAGGCTGGTGCTGAGGAGACAATCCTTTACTTAAGTAAGCGCTTGGTTGCCTCTTTTGCATCAAAACAGCCCATATTCCCATGTTGCATGCATCGGTTTCTACCACAAAAGGGCATAGAAAAGTCTGGCAGGACTAGAACTGGTGCAGAAGTCAAGGCATTCTTCAATTTGTTAAAAGCTTCAGGACCACTGGAAGTTGTCTTTTTTTCCAGTAGATCAGTGAGGGGCTTTCTCATAACCCACCGCCCTTGATAAACCTCTTATAATATCCTGCTAGACCTAAGAATCCCCTTAGTTGTTTGAGGTTAGCAGGATCAGACCAAGCCTGTATAGCTTCTATTTTCTTGGAGTCAGTGGTTGCACCTGCAGCAGAGATGTAATGGCCTAAGTACTCATCCATGTCAGCATAAAAAACACACTTACTTTCTTTAGCAAAGAGCTGGTGTTGTACTAGCTAATCAAAGGTAATCCTGAGATGATGAACATGATCCTCTAAGCTTTTTCTAAATACCAAGATGTCATAAAAAACTAGAATGAATTTCGGTAAGCCTTGAATATATAGTTCATCAGCCATTGAAAGCTTGATGGGGCATTAGTTAATCCAAATGGCATAACTAGATATTCATAATGTCGAGAGTGAGTTTGGAAAGATGTTTTCTGTATGCCTACGGATGTCATCCTGATTTAGTGGTAACCAGGTCTTAAGTCTATTTTAGAATAGACTTTTGAACCTCGCAGCTCATCTAACAGCTCCTCAATGAGGGGTATGGGAAACTTATCCTTCATAGTCAGCTTGTTCAGTGCTCTGTAGTCTACATATAGTCTCCAAGAGTCATTGTTTTGCTCACTAGGACTACAGGAGATGCATAAGAACTAGAGTTGCATTGGATTTTGCCTTAACATTTCTTGTATCACTTTCTCAATCACATCCTTCTGAATAGGGGAGTACCTATAGGGTCTTGAGTTCACTGGCACACTACCTTCCACCAATGGAATATGATGATCAAACACTCCTCTTGAAGGAGGTAGTTGTTTTTGGTTCAGCAACCAATTCCCTATATCCTTCAAGTAACACTTGTATTTCAATTGGTGCCTCTTCCTGTTTTGGGTATGATTCTTCCTGGGCAGATCTTGATCATGAATATTTGAGCAGTGTTAACTGTGATCTTATTGAAGGCCTTACCATTTACAGTCTTGAAGAAGGGGTGGATTCCTTGCAATGTAACTGATTTCCTTTGGTATAGGAATTTCATCCATAAATTTGCAAAGTTAACCTGGATATCCCCTAATTTGCATAACCATTGGATACCAAGCACCACATCACAGCTGCCTATAGGAAGCACCAGGAAATCTTCTTTGAATACCACACCTTGCATTAACCATGTAAACCCCTTACTCCCCTTCACTATTTGTATCACTCTTCCATCAGCTACTGAGACATCTCGAGGACTCATTTGGTAAACCTTGCACCCAAGCCTTTTTGTTGTTTGTTCATTGATAAAATTATGAGTGGAGCACAGTCAATAAAAACATTGATTGGTTTTTGTTTAGTGAAACCTTGAATCCTCAAAGTCTTGTATCCCCTAGATCCATTCATAGCTTCTAAAGAAATTTCACAATTCTCAATAGGTTCTTCTTCCAGCTTTTGGTCTTCAATGATTTCCTCAAGACCTGGTTCTTCTGTAGGAGCCAATTATTCATCCTCAATTTTTAAGGAGTACAGGTGTCTTTTGGCCTTACATTTGTGCCCTAGAGTGAAATTTTCATCACAGAAAATCATATTCCATTTTCTCTTTTCTCATCCATCTCAGTTAGGGTGAGCCTCTTTCTTCTGTTATCAAAGTTGGCAGTCAATGAATTCTTATAACTAGGCATATTTTCTTTAATGAAGCCACCATTTCCCTGGCCTGCAGGAGGTCTGTACGTAGTTGAAGCTGAAGATGTGTCCTTGATTGCCTTGCTTTGGGCAACAAAGTTAGCCTCCTATAACCTAGCCAAATAGTATGCTTGTGGCAGGCTGGTGGGATTGCCCACTCTAACAGCATTACTGAGCTCAGGTTTCAGGTTGTTCAAAAAGATATTGATAGCATGTTTAGTAAAGAAGTGATCCTTGCCATTACTAGTGTTGTGAAGAGCGTAACGCGAGGAGTCCCTTTTCGCTTAAAGCGAGAAGCGAGAAGCGAAGCGCTTGCTTTTTTGAAGTGAATCGAAATATTTAAAAAAATATTAAAATAAATACTACATCGTATACGAAGAAGCACAGTATAACTGAAACAAAAAAATAGGCAGCATTTCAATCTTTTTATCGCTAAAATAGTGCAAGAAAATGAAGAAGAAGAAGAATGAGAAAGAAGAATTGAAGGGGGGTGGAATTCACCAGCATTTCACTGCTATTTGGATGCTGAAATAGTGAAAGAAGAAGAAGAAGAAGAGGGAAAAGGAGGAAAAATAAATCACATACCTGGGACCAAACTTGATGATCTTGAAGTTGAAAAGTGTAGAAAACTTGAACCCTAGGCCGCCTCTTTCTTTCTCTGTTGCTACGGCTCGATGGTGTTTTAAAAGAAGATAGATTTTTTAATTAAATACGTTGGCAACCCAGTTATAGAGAGAAGCGCTCGCTTCTTAAGCTTTGCATCACTCAAAGCTTCTCATTTTTTCAAGAAAAGCGAGCGTTTTTGTAAACCTGCTATGCTTCAGCTAACAGAAATGCCAGATATCTTGCCTCGCTTCGCTTCTTGCTTTAAGCGAGAAATCGCTCGCTTTTTACAACCCTTATTACACTCACAAATGCTTTCTGATAGTCTTTCACTGACCCTATATGCTTAATGTTCATTAGCTCAGTCATGGGATCAGAGTACTCAGCCCCAAAACTATCACAAAGAGCCCACAAATACTCATCCCAAGTAGGTAGTGGCATTTGTCCTCGACACCTCATATACCCCAAATGCCACTGTAAAACATCTCCTTCAAAGTGCAGATAAACTAACTTCATCTTTTGCTGAATGGTAATGTCTTCATCCGCAACGAATTGCTCTACTTTGTACAACCATGTCCTTAAGTCATCCCCATTGAACTTAGGAAACTCAACCTTAGTATATTTGGTATAGGGTATGTTAGGCAAAGGTACATTGTGACTGTTTTGTGTTTGTGGGTAGTTTTTAGCAATGTGGTTGTACTGGTGGTGAGGAGGTGTTGGCATGTAAGTAACATGGTGATATAGATGAGGGGTATGTGTATAGTCTGAGTGTAGTAGGGTGGAGGGAACTGTGTGGTTTGGTTGTAAGGAATGTATTAAGGCATCACTCCAACTGGTGACCCTTGGTTCCAAGTTACTGTGGGTTTATAATACCTTCCACGAAGAGGTTGTGTAGGAAAATTTTGAGGTTGGAATGCGGTGGTTCAAGGTTAAGGAGAGGAGAGATTTGGGATCCCACAAGGTTGATACTGGAGTGGTTGTATGGGGGGGTGTTCATCATGACTAAACTAATGGAGCGGGGCTGTAGTTGGGTCTGAGTTGCAATCGCATGCATAGGTTGTACAGCTGGTGGTGTAGGGGAAGGAACACCACTAGCTGGAGTGCTAGTTACAGCTGGCCTAGGATTCTGAATGAGTGCACTAACAGGGGAAATAAGAGCATTCGATGAGGTATTGTTAACATTACTAGTACTAGGTGTTGCCACATCTTCAAAATCAAAAGGTTTGTCACTATGAGAGTAGAGCTCACCTTCATCATGTGTCACCTTCTTGTCCCTTTCAGGTCGTTTGCCTCCATGGATGACCTCATTGAGGACTTCTCTAAGCTCACTGAAAGATTCTTCCTGATGCCTGATACTTTGCTCTTGAACAACTTCCAATTGCTCATGTCGATCAGTGAAGCTGGAGATATCCATGGAGATCTTATGTAGAGCACTCACAACTTCATTCATTTCACTCGCCATAGATACACAGAGCCAAGAAAGAGCTCTGATACCACTGATACGAAGAGGCAATCGAACAATAAAAAGAGAAGAAAAAGGCAATGAAACAGTAAAAAGAAAGAAGAAAACTAGGGCAAAACAAAAGAGAATGTTTTTCTGATTGATTTTCGAATAAGAGCAGAAATTACAATTACAATATATAGAATGAGAGAGGAAAGATTCCATAGCTGGCACTCGAGTGTACTCTGCCATTTCCTAACCACTTGACCTGGACCTCTCGTATAAGAAACAAACAAAATTGTAGGGCTAATGTGTAATTACCTGAAACTATAACTTAAAATATAAATGGACTAAACTAAACATCTTCCAAACTTTTTCTCAGCCTTCATACCAACTAACTTAACATCCTCGTATCACTTAACAAGCATAAGGTACCACTTTCGGAAGTTATGCGTATTATCACGGCCCCTCAAGATAAAGCTTCAGTCATCGTTAGAATCCCGAGGTGGGCCAAATTACATAAAGAAACTTCAGTTTTATGTTGATTTACTGTGGATGAATATGGAGAAGCTAGATCTCTAGCCAAATAGTGATGGTAATTCTTCAACAAGAAAGATAGTAAAAACCTCACTTTTTCTAGCTCATAGAATATATATTTTACTCAACAGAGTATAATTGATAATTTTTAGTTTTTAGATCAATAGTTGAAAAGTAAGAAGTACTGAAGTAATACTATTTAAAACCGCAAAATCAACAATGCAAATTCCACATAAGCTACAACCAACAATAGTGAAAAATGTACTAATACTTTATACCTGTAAACCGACTAAAATGGAATCATTGACAACCAAAAAAACGTTGAAAGAGCGTGTTTTCAACGACAAATCAAAGCGATGACGATCGTAAGTGTAAGCACGTGATTTTTGCCCTATATGAGAATTACTCCCAAAAATTCCAAAAATAAAATAATTTTTTGTTTGTTTGCAATTGTTGTGAATTTTGTGCTATTTTTCTTGTATTGTTTGCATTTGTTTGTGCATGTTTATTTTCTAAATTAATAAAAAATACAAAAATATGTCGCATTTGTATTTAGGATTTAATTTTGCAATTATGAGTAATTAATTTTGTTTTACAAGAATAAAAATTACAAAAATAGGCATCTTTTGCATTTTTAGTCTTTAATGTCCAAATTGTGTGATTGTATTTTAATTGTCATTTCATTTTATATGATAATTGTTGCTAGGAATTAATTAGTATTTTTAATAAGTTAATTTAGTTTGTAACTTAGTTTAGAATTTTAATTTTAGAAAGTAAAAGAAAAGAAGCAATAAAAGAGGAGGAAAATCGGATCGGCCCACCTTCTAATTTAAATCAACCATGGCCCAAATCAAATAAACTCCTACCGGATCGACCCGACCCGGTCCGCCCCATAACCCCAAGCAAACACCTCCCACCCTTTCTTCCATTTGGATTTTGTNCT